TTCGTGTCTACCCGCGACGGCTTATGTTGTCAACTCTATTTAAAAATGTGGGTAGCTAATTGCGTGTACTTCTGTCGTATTGTTTTACAATGCTAGAGTTCGCAATTGACTGCTTGCAACAACAGTAAGCTGTAATTCTGGTGTGGGACTACTGGAGCTGGCACATCTGTAGCTGCATTTACTTAGCGTGTACAAGCTTCAAAATGTTGATGGGCCTGTCATGTCTTTCGCTAATTTTCAAATGGGACGGAGAAAAACATTTTATATGATATCCTCTGGTACCTAAACCCAGCAGCTATGGAACAACCCGTCTGCGGTAAAATTTGAACCTCGTCTAGCTAACAACTAATCATGGCAAGTCAGGACAACAAGTACTGGAGACCCATTACGGTCGATCTTCAGTGTGAAAACTAGAGGCAGTGAGGATGGGGGTGTGCACTGTCACACAACTCTGTCAAGTATAACTTCTACATTATTGTAACTGTATATAATTCATTAATTGTTTTTCTTGTCTACACTGCAGCCTGAAGCTTCCATGCAGAAACGAATATCCTGTCTTTTCTACAGTGATGTGCGGAGCTGTTTTGCAGTCTGCATGCTAGCTACCTATCAGTTATCTGTCTAGCTTCTTGGTTAATTACCGATGTATTAGAAATTTAATTAGAATGTTTAGTTGGTTGGATGGTTACTTCGTTAGTCGGTCAGTTCGTTGGTTCTTTCGTTAGTTCGTTGGTTGGTCCGTTGGCCAATTGATCAGTTGGTTGATTTGTTGAATCTGTTGGCTTGTTGTTTAGTGATTGGTTCAGACATACATCTAGGACCAATGGGCAGCGCAATAGAGCAGACAGGGAATCTATATCTGAAGGACTAATTAAACGAAGAGGGGGGGGGGGTAGTGGAGGGAAAGAAGGGGGGGGGGGGCTGAAATCAGGTTCTGGAAGATAATTAACCCTGAGAGGAAAAAATAGACGGACTTTAATCAGGTTTCAACTGGTACTATTAGCATGTGTCGATTGACTGACTGACTTTCTACCCCACTAGGACATCACACAAGCGATAAACACCCGATGACCCAAAGTGCCACCATGCGGATGAGGATCACCGTGGAGAGGTCCCAGAAACCGCGTTCAGACAATTGGCCATATTGATGGCCTGCCTATATTGCGGCCCCTGGAAAAAGCCAGAGTGGGGCTCCAAACAATAAGAAATTACGTCCTGAAAAGGACGTAAGTAAGTTAGTATCCCTAAAAAGGACGTAAGGATAAGAAAAAATGTGTCGATTTTTCTGTGGCTACCGAAGAAGGGGACGGCAATGTCTCGAGTGCAGTGATATCAATTCATTCATTCATTCATTCATTCATTCATTCATTCATTCATTCATTCATTCATTCATTCATTCATTCATTCATTCATTCCGGGCATCATTCCTCAACAAACAACGATTCAGTCAGAAGTGCCCGAATTCTCTACTTGGCATATTCCTCAACGTTTCGGATCACTACAGGATTGCAGTTGGCCGGCCTTTAGAACGTGCCTACATTGTTAGTGCCCTTGGAGAGATATGGCGATCGTAGGATTTGGGGGAGCAGTCTTTCCACATTACTGCTAAGAAAGTGAGAAGATGGAGTAAGGTAAGCGAGTGCGTGACTTTCAACCAGGCCGGGACCGCACAACGAGCGATTTACATCCGGTGACACAAAGTATCACTATTCAAATGAGAATCCTCCAGGCGCAAGTCCCAGAAACCACGTTCAATCGCTATTTTATATTAGGGCCAACGACGACAGCTGGGCGGGGCTTTGAACGAGGGTCTTGTCAATCACGACCGACTGGAGAATATATATATATATATATATATATATATATATATATATATATATATATATATATATATATTGATGGCATTGATGGCATCCGTCAGCCCCGGGGGACTATGGAGATGTGCCGCTGGCTTTGGGAACAGCATCTGCTGTGACTGTAAAGTTTGATGCGGGAATGGCAGTCTTTGCCACACAAGATACACACAAAAGCAGATACTCCCTCGTTGTGAGGCAGTTTTACTCTCCGGTGCCTCCTCTCCACAGCTCGTTGTGTTCGGTTTCTTTCAAAATCTGACAGTCCATCTTTCACTTTCTGTCTCCATAGTAGTCGATCTGTGGCTGATTTTTCCCATGTCCCTGTGCCTATGTTGGTATCTATTAGGTCACGTTTGCATACATCTTTAAAGCGCAGCTTTGGCCTTCCTGTAGGTCTATTCCCAGTTACCAATTCACCATATAGGAGATCTTTTGGAATACGACCATCCTCCATGCGGGAGACATGTCCCAGCCAGCGCAGACGTCTTTGCTTCAGTATACAATACATTGATGGTATTTTTGCTCTTGTCAGCACACATTCGTTGGAGACAAGGTCTCGCCATAATATACCAAGGATGCGTCTCAGACAGCGCATATGGAAGGTATTCAGTCTTTTTTCCTGTGGAGCATAGAGAGTCCAGGATTCGCAGCCGTAGAGTAATGTGCTCAGGACACAAGACTCATAAACCTTCATTTTTGTATTATTTATATATAAAGACCTGCAAAAGGCCGTGTGTCAACCAGCTTAGGGCTGGCACTAATAACCGTGGAACACTGGTATTTCTCCGAAAGGAGAATGAATATGAGGACACATAGGCGTGTTACAAAAGCTGTGAAGATAACATAACTCACACAAACACACGCATACGCACATTAATAATATTTCTCGTGTGCAATATATCTTTGTCCACAAAGGTAAGACAGCTAATTCTTATCAGCTATATGGTACGTATAGTATAAAGTACATATTCATTGTGCATCAAAGGAGAATCGTGGACAGCCAAATTGTGGAGAGAAAAAAAAAAGGGTGGGGGGGGGTGGGGGGAATACGTGGGACTTGCGAAGTAATTTTGTAGCAGAGTTGCGAGAACACAATAGAAACACACATAAAGCTTAATGAAGACGTTTCTAAAACATACAAACTTACAAAAAGAACTAACTTACAGCAATAGATAAAAATATACTTTGTAGTCGGCGTCTGTGGCTTAGACGTTGCGAACGAGCTTTGTAATGCCGGGGTTCCGGGTTCGATCCCAGCTGCGTACGGTTTGTCTTGTTTTGGTTTCGACAGTGGCACCGAGAGCTGACCGTTTAGTAAGCAGTAGCAAACTAATATACGTAAAATTTGCCTAGAAAAACCACAACAGCCCAAAAAATGCTGGGGTTGGTTTTGCAACGTCATGTAAAGGATACGCAACTAACTTTCTCTTTTCTTTTTTAGCAGGAGTGCGGACGTCACCAGAAAGTAGAAATACTTGAGTACATTGTTGTTGTTCTTATTTGCGTTTACCAGCTGTAACTCCGGCGAAAAGTTCTGGTTGTTTGTCCATCTCTGGACTTTAGTCTCCTTCCAGACCATGAGTGTTGCGTGCACATCCGTTTAACAAATCTGACAATTGTATGCAGATTGTTGGTTCACTGCCTCCCAGGCAGATGCACTCCGACTTCAAAGGAAACCCCAAATTAGTCGACTCTTACGACATGCTTGTAGGTGAGGCAGTGGGTCTATTCTTGATTTACCCAGAATGAGGCCATGGAACCCACACGGGGAAAGTACATTGTGACAAGGGAAACTTAGGAGGGGAAGAGACGTAGATATATTTTAATTTGTTATGGTTCACAGTGAACAAGACAGAAGACTGTACCTTTGTAACTGACAGCACCACTTCAACTAAAAGGAGGAGGAGGGTGCAGGAGGAACAAAAGAAGAAGAAGAAGACGAAGAGGAGGAAAAGGGGGAAGAATAAGAAGAAGAAGAAGAAGAAGAAGAAGAAGAAGAAGAAGAAGAAGAAGAAGAAGAAGACGAAGAAGAAGAATAAAGAGGAGGAGGAGAAGAAGAAGAAGAAGGAGGAGAAGGAGAAGAAGATGAATAAAGAGGAGGAAGATGAGGAAGAAGGAGGAGGAGACTATTTTATTTTAAACCTTAGCAGCACGAGGAAATTTATTTCCCTCCAGCTGATCAATTTTGTTCCAAGTGAAACAAAGTTCACATACTTTAAGGCAGTCAAGTCCACCTTTTTAGAAAACCTGGAAGCTAGCGCAAGTGTTACCTGTGAACAGTGTTGCCATTTTGGATGTTTTATATCCAAATTTAGATGTTTGTCCTTGCATTTAGATGGCATTTTTGACGTTTAGATGGTAGATGTTTTTCTAGATAATTTTCATTTAGAGTGAATTTATCAAATCTAACCTAAGAAACAGGATGAAATTTGACATCTTAAATGCTATCTTGAAATAAAATTTTGCCTGATAAGTAGGAAAAGGCTGTTCCACTAATCAGCTCCCTGATTGGGTATTTAAAGAAATTTGAACAGCTAAAGCAGAGTAATTTTGGATCTGAAGCTTAACCTTCATCATTAAAGCTAAGTTTATCCTGTGAATCTTGTAAGGCAGACTTCAGTAAAGATGAGGACATGATTCTACAGGAAAAGTCATATCAATTGCTATGTAATTTGTGACTTTCCATTTGGATGTTTCTTCTAGATGTTTTCCACGCAAATTTAGATGTGTTTAGATAATTTTTACTCCGTTTTGGATGTTTTTCGTCAAAGAAAAGTGGCAACACTGCATATGAAGGCACACTATTGGTGGCAGGTGGGCTGTGACGCGCGCGTGTATAGGTGTTCTTCTCCCCATACGGGACTGTGCGGAATTCGAATATACAGTTGGTGACAGCCACTACACGGAAAGAAGGAAACTCGACGAAAGTCTCGGGACATTCATTGTCGTGTTCGGGGTGCAGTGTTTTCTTTTATTTATGGTGACTGTACCTGTGAAACTACAGTGTGTTGCGAATTAGCCTAGCCTGTTGTGATATAACGTTAAGCGTAGAGCGGCGTTATTTACCCCGTTACTTTATTGATTAACGCAATGACCCTTGTAAGTTGTTTGTAGTTAGGAAATTGTCCTGTTTGTTATTTCGTAATGGCGACTCGTGGAGATTATTTCAGAGTCGATCCAGAGGATAGAAGTAGCAGTCGCCTGCTGGAAAACAACCCTTTAACATCTGCCGAGGACTCGCCGAGGTCTGAAAATAAGGAGTCCAAAGGTTCATCATGTATCAGTATGTGGTCATTTTCTTTGATTGTTATTGGATTAGCAGTGATGTTTTTAGTTGGTATTTGCGTTGGATTCTACGTTCGAGAACTGCAGAAAGGAGACCCTCGGGTGGAAGAAATGTGTGGTTCCACGAAGAAAGTACAGGAGATTGATTATAACAAGCTAGGAGGCCTGCATGAAACTTTGGTTTATTATATTCGTGGAGAAGAGATTAGAGAATTTGTCAGGTATGATGATTGTTGTGGTTTATAAACTTTATGCGTGTTTGATTGTGTGTTAACAATGTTTTTTTAAAATCTTTATATCCCTCACAACACACGGTGTTGTACATCAAACAACTTATAATGTCTTGTCGTATGTTTTATATTCGGCCTCAGTATGTTTAAGAAGTCAGACCAGAGTAGATATTTAACAAACAGCACAGTAAATTACAAAAGTTGATTTCAACTCTTTCAGTCCCAAGACCATCATCTTCTTTCATTTGCTTGAAATAAGTTATCTATACCTGCAGTCTCTAGTATGAACTTTACTGTAATTCACTTAGTGACCCATAATGTTTGGGCTTCCACTAGTGTCTCTCTTGGCCTGAAGTTTTGCCTGCAAATGTTGTATTAGGGACAGTCTTGGAGGATGTGATCTGTTAATACAGGTGGAAGTCCACATGTACAAGTGGCTGATTCACCAGTCTTAAACTCAGTAGATTGCGAAGAAGATTGTGCCCTGTTCTGATCCATAGAATAAAGACTTGCTCTCGAATAACAACCATCTTTGATAGAATACAGCAAGAACACCAAGAAATGTATGATGTGTTATTGTTATTTTTGTTGCTAAAAGAACTTCAGGCAAAAGGATAAGCTTTATCTTACAAGGTTTTAACCCTTATGGCTAAGCCTATCTCCATAAAGAATCCTCGATTACCATTGAAAGCATCATATAAAGCTTGAACTCTGTAGCTCCAGTGAGGACCCATCAGGGATCTCCAAAATGCCAGCAACTGCAACCAGAGAATAAAGTCCAAAACAACCTACAGCCTTAGATTCATCCAAAGTGCTTGGGGAAAGAAAAATTTAAAACAGCAAAATTGTTTTCCTTTGGGACTGCATGTCAGTCCTTTAGGTGACTCAGAGGAATCCGCCAGACAAGATGGAAAGAGAACCGACCCACCAGCTAAACAGACTCATAGAAAACAATCAGATCGCTCTCCGGGGGATCCCGGCTCAGTTTCGGCATACCAGGAAATGAGTTAGCAGACAACTGCAAAAAATGGAGCAAAGGAGAAACAACACACCCATCTTCCCTGTGTGGGTTCCGGGGCTCCATTGTAGGGAAAACAAGAGTAGACCCACAGCCTACCTAAAAGCATGTTGTAAGAGTCGACTAACTGGGAGCTTCCTTCGAAGTCGGAGTACATCTGCCTGAGAGGCAAGGAACCAGCAGTCTGCATACGGATGAGTAAGATCTGTCAAATGGATGCCCACTTAGGTTCTGGAACAGGATTGCAGTCTAGAAGTGGACAAACAACCAGAACTTTCACCAGAGTTTACAGCTGGTGAACGCGAAGAAGAAGAAGAACACACCCATCCATTGTCGTTAGCAGAAATCAGAACACTTATCAAGGGAAAATACAAGGAATTGTGGAGAGAACAAACAATAAACATCCACAAGACCCCATCAGCAAACTCAACAGAAAGCAACATACAACAACTTTCCGTCTATGAACAGGACACTGCAGGCTCAAATACCACATGCATTAAAAAAAAGATTGTACAGTCCCCACAGTGTGCTGTCAAACAGGACCACAAACACCTGAGCACATTCTGCAGACCTGCCCACTCTACCTACTACTTGAAAAGTCACCTGCCCTTAAGAGCAAAGTGTGCAGAGCAAGCTATGGGGAACCATGAAAGACCTGCTACTGACATGTGAGTTCACAGAGGCAACCCACCTGATTGTCTGATCTGAGCATAGGAAACCGAATACAAAGAAGAAAGAAGCCTTAGAGCACAAGGCAAACAGCCGGGTATACCTTCTCGATTTATGACAGCCAATGCTGTTATCTTTCCTTATTTTCTATTTTTATTTATTTTTATTTAGGTCACTTACTACCACACAAAAAATAAATAAATAATAGTAAATAAGGAAAGATAACAGCATTGGTTGGGTCAAAAATTTCAAGAAACTAATGCAGTAGAGTACATATTAATTATTGTTTGCATTTATGTACAATAATTATAATTACAAAGATTACATTTTTTGAGGGTTTTATGTACAATTTTCATAACTTGTTTGACTTAGTGTTGTAAATTATAAATTTGTCTTACGACCTCTCTGTTGGAATTGAACCTGATCTTAAGTCGACAAGATCCTGCAGTCAGTAGTTGAGGTTTCAGCTCCCATGCAGAGTGGTCACCCAGAAATTGCTTTCTTCCTATGTTTGTGAAAATCATTACACACAAAATTATGTACTGTTCCATCTGAAAACTGGTGAGCAGACAATAAATTCAGACACAATTCAAAAACATGCACTCGTAGCAAATGGAAAGGCAGTCACTAGAGTTGCCAACACCAGCTGTCTGCCACCAAAATTGCAGTGGTGATCATCAAGAGGCCCAAGCCGCAGCTTAGAAAGATTTTTTTAAAAATTTGCTGTTTTAGCAATGATTGGTGGACCACTGCAGGCTGGATTCAGCCCATGTGCCTCTAGTTAAAAAGCCCTTACCATACACATAGAAGCTAACCTTCTAAGCATTCAAGAATCTTCCGGGCAATCGGCCAGGAAGCATATTTGTTAACTGCCACAAGAAAGATGTATGTTAACTTTGCTGATGCTTCTGTAGTGCCACGTACTTTGTTCACATGGTTTAACCTGTGCATGGCTAAGAAGTTTGCACAGTATTCCAGGCAATTAAGGATTCATTTCCATGCCTTGTGGCGGAGGGGGTTGTCTTGGCTGGTGTGTGTCCTTGTGTGTGTTTATTTATATATTTATATATATATTGGCACATTTCCTCGACTGGTATACATGTATGTTTGTGTGCGTGTATATATATATATATATATATATATATATATATATATATATATATATATATATAAATATGTGTGTGTGTGTATGTATACTGCCCATTGCCTTGACTGGTATGTTTGTGTAAATATATATATATATGTATGTGTATATGTGCATGCTGTGACAGATATGTCACCTTTACCGCTGTGGTCAGGGCTATTAAAATGAAGAGGGATTGGTTTGAGTGTCTTCTTGTCGATATCGGAGAGGTGTTCCCGGAAACGATCAGCTAGCTTCCTGCCTGTCTCCCCAATGTATGCCTTGCTGCATCGTTTGCAGATAATTGCATAAATTACGTTGCGGGATTCGCAAGTAAAAGGTTCCCTAATTTGAAAAGAACCATTAGGGAAACTGACCGAAGAAGTCTGGACAACGAAAGGACATGTCTTGCAGGTGCTAGGTGAGCACTGAGTAGTCCCAAAAGGAAGTGCTGTGTGGATCGGTGGGAGTCGGCTTCGGACAAGTATGTCTTATCCACAGCCTTGGGGTTCTTAGTCCAAGAGGTATCAATATCCAACATACCTTCATCTAAATAGTTCTAATCTTATCACATTTTAAATGTTAATTATTTTTTTTTATTTCATATTATTACCTTATTCTATTTCTTATCAGTATCATTTATGTATCATTAACACTTGCATTTATTTTATTCCCAGTATTGTGACTATATTTTTTAGCCATCGTTTATTTTATTTTATTTCATTTATTCCGCATCACATTTTTTTAAACTTCGCTTACGTCACCCCTTAGAGATCTACATACTCTCCATTCCTCGTTTGTGTATTTCACTTGTGTTTGAAAAAGGCTGCCCGGCCGAAACGTTGTGTTGTTTTGTGCACGTTTTCCTCTTTCCCATTTTGTTGAGCTTTTTAGTCAAATTTCTCTGGAATTCATTGTATTAGCTTGACTGCAGTCACCCCCATAGTTTCACCTAGTGCACTGTGTTTAACCTTTACCCAATCAATAGATTTTGTTAATCTCAAGTTGTCGTTCGTGACAAACCCGTTTTTCTACTGCCCCGCTTAATGTATACGGATTCTTTTGTTAGGACTTCCCCTTTCATGTGACAACACATACTGATAAACATGGTCGATTTGTTTTCCCTCCCACTCATGTTATCTTTCCTTTATGTCCTTCCGTCTCTTTCATAATTCTTTTTGTCATGATATATTTCTCCAATATTATGTCCCCCTTTCTCGCTCATCTCACTGGTTCATAATGTCTCTTTTCATGAGCTCAAATACAGTCACCTGCTAATCTTGCCGTCCTTTTTTAGGATGCAATTTTTCGTTATTTGAAGCCCTACTCTGGCTCATGCCAGGGGCCGCAATATAGCCCGGTCATAAATATGGCCTAATGGCTGATCGCGGTTTCTGGGACCCCTCCACGGTAATCCTCATCCACATGGTGGCACATTGTGTCATAGGGTCTTTGTCGCTTGTGTGATGTCCTGGTGGGGTAGAAAGTCAGTCAGTCAGCTCAAATACAAGTCGCCCCCCTGTGGGATGCAATCTTTAGTTATTTTGAAGCCCCTCCTCGGCTTTTGCCGGGGGCCATAAATGTGGTCTAGCGGCTAGACGGGGTTTCCGGGCCCGTTCTCGCGGGTGATCCTCATCCGCATGGTGGCACCGGGTGTTTGTCGCTTGTACGATGTCCTGGTGGGGTGCAACCTACCCAGAGAAGGCCGTGCAACCTACCTACCCACCTTTCATGCGCTTATTCTCAAACGACATGTCTCGCTAATTGGCGAGAGCAGTTTCATATGCTTGTAGTTGTTGAAAGCACTATTTCCATCCCAGTGGTGTTCTGGGCAAATGTCGGTAGATTCATAGTTTGGTGAACTAATCATTGCTGATTACTGATTTAAGAATCGACATCATAGCATACCTGGCATAACTGTCGGTGCTCGTCTCCCGCAGCATATGTTTTAAGGTACATGCTAACTGTTCCAGTAGCACACTGATTATACACACGTCGTTCTCTTTCTCTCATACGCCCGTCCTTGCCGAATCCACTCCTAATTCCTCGTTCACACATTCATACATGTTATTTAATCTAATCTCGTGTCTTTGTTAACATACGTTCCTATATGGTCTTCAAGAATATCTCCCTTGTCTAGTACGAGTACACAAAAGCCAGGGGCTGTTGGGGTTGGTTCTG